AGGCCTTTTATGATTGCAGCTCTTTGGCCAACTTTACCATCCCAAATTCCGTGACGCACATTGCGGAGGAAGCCTTTGCTCGTTGCAGCTCTTTGGTGAACTTGACCATCCCAAATTCTGTGACGCACATTGGGAAGAATGCCTTTTGTGGTTGCAGCTCTTTGGCAAACTTGACGATCCCGAACTCTGTGACGCACATCGGGGATGGTGCCTTTTGTGGTTGCAGCTCTTTGGCCAACTTGACCATCCCAAACTCTGTGACCCACATCGGGGGAGGTGCCTTTGAGGATTGCACGTCTTTGGCCAACTTGACCATCCCAGACTCGGTGACCCACATTGGGAATCTTGCTTTTGGGAACTGCAGAGTGGCCAAGCGCAGAAGACACTGCTGAAGACACCGTTCAACGGTTTGGAGGATGGAATGTATTCATTGCCCAGGTTTTGTTGTTGCCAGAAGGGGTGCCATTGGTTGCCCCAAGACCTGGCCAAGCACAATGCAATCTGCTCGAGTTTGGCTCCGCCAAAGGCGGTACTCGACTTCATCCTCATTGCCCCCCTTGTTGACTAAATCAAAAGCAAAAGACTTCATGCACATCGATCAAAAGACAAAGGCAAATGCTTAACCTGATTCATCCCGAACTGGGTGAATTGCTTGGAACTATGGAACGAGGTCTGTGTTCACCGAGCGCTCTGTGAGCTTGTACATGTCAAGGCTATTCAGGCTATTCAGATTTGAGGTCACTTAAGCCTCCTGTTTGGGTCACAAAAAGGAACCTTCAAAAGGTCACGAACGGAAGAAGCTGGTTGAGATCGCTTTTGAGAAAATCATTTCTACTGCGCCCAAGCGAGACTTCTCAATGATTTGGTGTGTCTTGTTCTCTTTTCCATCCGACCATCCACTGATGTTCTTTTCGTGTCCTCTTCGGGATCACGAAAGATCAGGACGAAGTGGTCAGGGATCTCCCTAGAGAGGTTGAAGAGCCCCAAGGTCGCCCATACCATATGTACCACAGACCAGGGTCCGAACGTGAAGCGGTCTCTCAACCTCTCTTGGTCTTTCATCATCTCATCCCTGGTTTCGTCCAGTCGAGTGATGTGAAAAACTGGTCGACTACGAGTTCGGTGACCCGAGGGAACGAGGAACGAACACTTGGGGCTTTTCGGTGGTGTCAAAGATCACCTCACTGCCATGATATAGCATCTCTTCGGAGTGATGTTCAGCACGATCTTCACAGAAATGGCCCTGAGTCCCTGCCATGTTCGGATGTTCAGACTGACCGCCTGAGTCCCGCCATTCTGCTCCGCCATTCCTCCGGACCGAAAGACCCGCTTTCGCCTCGACGCCGCCCCCTCCGGACCGGCATCGAGGCGCACGGCAAAAGCACGGACGGCGGATGGGTGTCCTTTCGATTCGGTCGATTGCGTGGGGACGTGGCGTTTGCGGAGCTTCCAAATCCGGGGACCTTCGAGGACGTGAGGTTTTTGGAGGACGAAGACCCTTCAACAATCTCCAGTGGATGACCTTCAAGGACGTGAGGTGTGGTTGACCTAGATTGTATAGGGTCGCAGAGGTAGAGGCAGGTTTTCGGCGGGTGGCCCTTCGAGGGAAAGACCCCGGGTGATCTGGGCGACCGCCTGGCCCTGGGCCTCACCCATCAAGAGAGGTTGAACAGCCCTGGCCCTAATCCTGGTCTGTGGTAGATATGGGATAGGCGACCTTTCAGGGTGAAGAACCTCTCTTGATTTTTACAGGATTGTTTTTTTGGACTGGTCTATTTTGGTGCTACTCGGTAAAGACAGCTCATCCTGCCAGTGACAGAGAGTGCTAGCAAGATTGCAAAGAGTCGTAGAATTGGCGTAGCTAGAGCGCACTGCAAATCAACTTTCTACTTATTGCCTTGACCTCGTCTAGGCTCAGAGTACGACAAAGGAGGTAAGATCATTATCTGTTTCTGCTCATTGCAATGCGAACACAGAGATGTCCTCACATTTCAAGTACTGTACGTATGCACTAAGATCACGTGTGAAGCAAGCAGATTGTCATGCGTTGCACATCACAAATCACAGCTTCGTCTAAACACAAAGGAAGAAGGAAGCAGGTTGCACTCCATAATGCTGAACACGCGTTTTCGTTGCATGCTGTTGCTTCAGTTTTCTCCAGCGGCGCAAAGAAAGGCAGCAACTTTGGAACGCTTGCTTCATCGAATCATGGTCCCAGTTATGGTGCTTCAGCTCTTTCGAGCAATTTCTACATGAAAAGCAAAACTTCAAGCATCTAGCGCTGGGAGTCGGGCATCCCATGTTTGAGCTTGTACGTCACAAGATGCTGGTTGAGCCCTGTACATTTCTAGCACTATCTTGATGCAAAGCAGCACAGATCAATTGATGCGTTAGCTTGTTCATCACAAGACAGCAAATGGTGCTAGTGATGCTGCTCTAGGCATGTACATTTCTAGCGTTATCTGGATGCACACAAGCACAGATTGCATGGATACGTCACACAAGAATGGATGCCAGATGGGAACCCCAGGCTCCCTGGCCCATGGATTTATGTACTGTAATGTACAGTGGTTTCAGAGTAGATGCAACCCCCAAGATGACCTTTAGATGGGGTCCATATAAACCAAACAACCATTGCGCATTGCCGAGGCGAACGGCCTGGCGGACCTTCCCATGCGGCGAAAGGTGGAAGAACAAAGGCGGTTGCGGCAGTTGCGGATTTTCCACCAGGAGTTCTGCCTGGGTAGGGCGGATTGAGGAGGTTTTCTTCTGACCGTTTGGACCAGAACAAATTCCATCATGAAGTTTCCAGATGTATAGCTCGAGCATCTCTCTCTCTCTCTCTCCCTGGTTGCCACCTTACCTATAGGTCTACGATCTGAGACTGTTGGTGTTTGGCGTTTGGTCAAATGGTTTGGGCGATTTTGTGCACGGTGGTTTCGCCAAGCAGCTTGGGAGAGTTCATCAAAACGTTGAGCCGGATCTCCGTTTTGCGTCCGTTTTGGCCCTTCAAGTGCTGCAACAAGGTAAGCGTGTGTGTGTGGTTTTTGTTTTTTCCAGTGCAGTGCTGCGAGCTGCTCAGAGTTTTCTTGGTCCAGAGTCCAGACCCTGAATCTGAAAAAAATCACCATCCAGGGTTGTTCAAATCCACTTCGCTTTCTTTGAGAAAATCATGGCTTCGCCCGATTCTTGGACAGGCTTCAAGCTTGGCCATGACAGGATTTCCCAGTGCCAACGGTGCCAGGCTTCAAGCTGTGAAGTGCACACATGTGGGTCTGACACATCTAGAAAAGTGCTGGAAGTACTTGCACACCCGAAACACAAAAGCGACAAGAACCACTGAGCGGCCACACATCTTCCAGTTCCCCGCTCTGCAAAAACCCGACAAAGAAAGGGGAGCCCAAAAAGCCGCTTTTCCCGACCGAAAGAATACAGGTCGGTGCTTCGTCTTCGACTTAGACCGCTCAAAATGGACCTGGAAAACCCCTTTCACGGAGGACTCCCAGCTCCACCCAGCGGGGGAACCCCAGTCGTCGTTCACGTCCACATCAACGAGTCCGCGCGCCGCACCGCGGGCCATGTGGGTCCCCTTGTGCCATGGCGTCCAACGTTGGACGGAGGAGAGGCTCTCAGGCGACGGGGTGCAGAGAGAGGATGACGGAGGTTGGGTGATCTCTTTATGCCCTAGAAGTCCAAAGACTATATTTTGACCAGCTGAAGTAAAGCATATTCCCTTTCAGTTCCCGTAAAGACCATTCTTTTTATAGTCTTTGACTCCCAGGGTATGGTGAAGGCGAACATGAAATCACCATGGCTCCGAAAGTTTCTGTTGAATGGTTTGTACACGTTCTGACATCTTTGCCAGGTTCTCATTAGGACCTCTACTGTTCGGCTTGGTCGTTTAGACTTCCTGACTGGATTTCTGCAGTTTTCATGAAGATGAACCAACCGATGTTGCGAATGGAAAGGCTTTTGAAGGGTGATCCTTCTGTGCAAGCAGCCACTTCTTGGATAGTCACAATGGAGAGTAGGCATCACCCTAAATTTACCGGACTGTCTTTAGATCTACCGATCTACCCTTTGCACCCTACTTGAACATGAACATAGGGACCATACTAGTCACTTCTTAGAATCTAAATCAACCAAAGGGGCTTGAATTCACTTCTTCAGGATCCCCCAAAATTCTCCCCACCAAAAGGAAAAAGGTGACTTGTTCTGCATTGTCCCCGCGAGCGCACGACTTGTTCTTTCCTTTGCATCAAGTTGGGTGTCGCCGCAGGCACCGCCCGTGGTGTCGCGCCTGTCGCGCCAGTCGCGCCTGTGGCAGGGTTGCTCAGCGAAGCGAGTGACTGTCTCGTTTGTCTTGGCTGTTTACCAGGTGGTTGGTCTTTTGGCTGACGTGAATAGGTCTAAGATCAGTTTGCTCAAAGTGTATATATACATGTGACTAGTTTTCGGTTTGTTGAAACATTTTTGGGAGCAAATCTTTTGTTCTCCAAATGTTTCAACAACCGGAACATATTGGGATTTCGTCCGGAAATGGTAGAACATGAGACCGAGGTGCCCAAGCAAGCAAAGTCAATCAGGGTCACTTGGACCAATTCATGTTTGCTCACTTGTTTCAACACTAGCTGTGATGCTGTGATGCTCAAATACTGATAGATTGAACAGATTGGCAGAAGAACACAGACACGAAACAAAAGTAAGAATCAGCTAGAATCCAAAATACGTCAATGGCGAAGCGAATTTCAGCACGGCAGCCGAGTGGTGAAATCCTGGTTCTTGAAGTCACACCTGAGACAACAGGCAAGGAGCTCAAGCAGCAGATCAAGGAAAGGAAGCCTTGGGACGAGCTCACTCGCAGCACTACAAGTGTAGAGATCATTGTCGGAAACAACCGCTTGCTTGCGAACGATGTAAAGGTATTGGACGCTGGAATTTCTGAAGATACTGTAGTGAGTGTTGTCTTCAAGCCAAATGTCGTGATATGCTCCAACCAAGATGCAATCACCAGTCTTGGTGGCATCGTCCACGAAGAACTGTTGCTTGTGGTCGAATTTCCAGATGATGAGGCACAGATTTGTGACAGAGCCTTCAAAAATTGCCACACGCTGGCCAAAGTGACCATTCCGGACTCGGTGATCCACATTGGGGATGGTGCCTTTCAGGGCTGCAGCTCTTTGGCAGACTTGACCATCCCAAACTCTCTGACGCACATCGGGGTTGGTACCTTTCTTGGTTGCAGCTCTTTGGCCAACTTGACCATCCCAGACTCTGTGACGCACATCGGGAGTGGTGCCTTTCAAGGTTGCAGCTCATTGGCAAACTTGACCATCTCAGACTCTGTGACGCACATTGGGATTGATGCTTTTCTTCATTGTAACTCTTTGGCAAGCTTGATTATCCCAAATTCTCTGACCCACATTGGGGATCGTGCTTTTTTTCCGTTGCAGCTCCTTGGCAAACTTGACCATGTCGAACTCAGTGACCCACATTGGGGATGGTGCCTTTCAGGGTTGCAGCTCCTTGAAAAACTTGACCATCCCAAAATCTGTGGCCCGCATTGGGAACAGTGCTTTTCGTGGTTGCAGCTCTTTGTCTAACTTGACCATCCCAAACTCTGTGACGCACATCGGGGAGCTTGCCTTTTACGGTTGCAGCTCTTTGGCCGACTTGACGATCCCAGACTCTGTGACGCACATTGGTACTGATGCTTTTGCTCGTTGTAATTCTTTCGCAAGCTTGACCATCCCAAATTCTGTGACCCACATCGGGGACGGTGCCTTTCACGGTTGCAGCTCTTTGGCAAACTTGATGATGCCGAACTCTGTGACGCACATCGGGGTTGGTACCTTTCTCGGTTGCAGCTCTTTGGCAAACTTGATGATCCCGAACTCTGTGACCCACATTGGAGATTGTGCCTTTGCGGATTGCAGTTCTTTGGCAAACTTGACTGTCCCGGACTCTGTGACCCACATCGGAGATTGTGCCTTTGAGGATTGCACGTCTTTGGCCAACTTGACCATCCCAGACTCGGTGACCCACATTGGGAATGGTGCTTTTGGGAACTGCAGAGTGGCCAAGCGCAGAAGACACCGCTAAAGACACCGCTCAACGGTTTGGGGGACGGAAGGTATTCATTTTTCAGGTCTTGTGCAGAAGGGGTGCGATTAAAAACCCTGTGACACATAGATGTACAGGAGCTGGCAGCTGGCAACATAAAGACATACACTCTGCTCGAGTTTGGCTCCGCCATTCCGGCGGCGGCACTCGACTTGATCCGCATTGCCCCCCCCCTTAATGATCGATCAGGATCAGGCTACATGACATGAATATATTTTCCCTACCCTAGAAGTCCAGGAACCGACTATATTTTGACTGGCTGGAGGTTTCAGGAAGTTCCCGGACTCAGTTCCCCGTTCGTCGGACCATTCTTTTTATAGTCGACTGGACGAAACCAGGGCCTATCTATGAGTGAAGGGCTTTCTGGGGGAATCTTTTAAAGGTCAAGACCTGCAGAGCGATCCGTGAGTCAGTACGACATGTCTTATTCATTGCTATGAGTGATTTTTTCACTTTTAGGTCTATGTTGGGATCGCTGCTGCTTTTCCTTTTTACTTCACAAGCGAGACTTCTCAATGATTTTGGGTGTCTTGTTCTCTTTTCCATCCGACCGTCCACTTCCCCTGATGTTCTTTTCGTGTCCTCTTCGGCATCAAAGATCAGGACGAAATGGTCAGGGATCTCCCTACTGTAGAGAGGTTGAAGAGCCCCATAGCCCATCTCATATTATGTACCACTACAGGGTCCTAGTTCAGGTCTCTCAACCTCTCTTGGTCTTTCATCATCTCATCCCTGGTTTCGTCCAGTCGACTACGGAAAAACTGGTCGACTACGAGTTCGGTGACCCGAGGGAACGAGGAACGAACACTTGGGGCTTATAGGTGGTGTCAAAGATCGTCGACCTCACTGATGATATACCATCCATTCGGAGTGATTCCCATTTTCACTGAGTCCCTGCCATGTTCGGATGTTCAGAATGCCGACCGCCGAATGGAGCGTCCGGACGCGCTAGGGGTGAACGGGGCGAACCTGGCATCGCGAACCGAACGGAGCATTCTCTTCAAAGCCAAACACAACATGAACCAGCCATTCATCTGTTCCTCGACCACCCAGGGCCTCGACCCTGCGGACGCGTCCAGCGCAGCTGCGCTCGCGCTCGCGTCGAGCGCAGCTGCTGCGCTCGCCGCGAGGCGGCGAAGATGACTACGGATCGGTGAAGGTCATTTGGTCGTTTCGGGTGAGGTATCGAGGACGAAGACGTTTCTTCTTTTCTCTTCGGACCTTCAATCTCTAATGGATGACCTATAGGTGAGGTGTGGCTGACCTAGATTGTATAGGGTCGCAGAGGTAGAGGCAGGTTTTCGGCGGGTGCTCCCCCCATAAAGCTCCTGTCTTTCCTGGACACCAAAGCCGTCGTGGCTTCTGACCACCTGGACAGACACTGCTCCCCAGCGGCTCGGTGCCAGGCGAAGACGGCTCGCTGCTCGAGGCAGCGGCGCCATGGCTCGAGGTGCGGCCCCCCCGATCGGCGCGGGGAAGCGCGCTTCCCCGCGCTTTCCCCGCGCTTCCCCGCACGGAGGAGGGACAAGGGAAAGACCTGGGTGCGTTGGTTTGGGAGATGTGGGAGACCCCCTGACCTGAACGCCGGCCTTCGGTTTGGGTGGTCTAGGGGGGGTCCAAGTAACTTGCTGCTGCAGGTCGAGTCGAATCGATGTAGCTAGGGACACCTGAGAAGAACGTGGACCTGCACTGCAAATCCACTTTCTACTTATTGCTTTGACCTCGTCTAGGCTCGACACAGGAGGTAAGATATTTTTTCTTTCTGCTCATTGCAATGCGAAAACAGTGATGTCCTCGCATTTCAAGAGAAAGAATAGCAAGCAGACTGTCATGCCTTACACATCACATATCACAGCTTCGCCCCATCACAAAGGAAGAAGGACGCAGGTTGCACTCGATAATGCTGTATGCTGTTGCTTCAGTTTGCCAGCGCAAAGAAACAACTTTGAAACACTTGCTCCATAGAATCATTGTGCTGGTGATGCTGCTTGAGCCCAGTGCATTTCTAACATTATTTGGATGGAACAACTGATAGGTGATTTGATGCGTCGGCTTCTTCGTCACAAACACAAATTATCCTAGCGATATCTTTCAGGTATGTACATTTCTAGCATCATCTGGGTACGGATTGTTAACTTGTTCACCACATTGATAGTTGCAATGATGCTTCTCTAGGCATGTGCATTTCTAGCATTACATTGATGCAAACAAGCACAACAAACACAAGTTGTCAGCTTGTTCACAACAAAACATTTATAGTTCTAGTGATGCTTGTGTAGGCATTTGCGTTTCTAGCGTTACCTGAATGCAAACAAACACAACAAGCAGATATTTTTTGGATTGTTTACCACAAAACTGTGATAGTTCTAGTGATGCTTCTTTAGACATGTGCATTTCTAACATTATCTGGATGCGAACAAGCACATTGTGATTTGGTGTCAAGTTCTTGATAACAAAAGTTGTGCTAGTGATGCTGTTTCGGACATTTACATTTCTAGCATTATCTGGATTCAATCAAGTACAGATTGTCAACTTGTTATCAACAAAACATTCATAGTTCTAGTGATGCTACTCTAGGCATGTACATTTCGCGCATTATCTGCATGCACACAAATACAGCAAGCAGAGATTGTCAGCTTGTTCACCACAAAACAGTGATAGTTCTAGTGATGCTGCCCGCTGCCCCATTCCTTTTTACTTGCTTGCAATAAAATTCTTTCATAGAAAATGAGGACCTGAAGGTTCAGATCATCTCGAACCCCAACCCCCCTCGTCCGATGGGAGAAGTCCGCTCAAAGTGCTTCAAACTCGGTCAATCTGACCATTTCCGGCTCGAAACGCAGTCGTCTTCGATCATCCTTGGCAGTTCCATCCGTCCCACCCGACCCGACCCAGCAAGTACAAGAGGTCTCCACGTCGGAAGCAGAGGGGCAAAAAGTCTCAACCTCAAGAGGTTTACTGTGACCTGCTCGGTGTAGAACACGCAGAAGCACGAAGCCCTGTTTGGCAGTCATGGCCGGAGCCCCGGAACTCACTCCCCTTAAAAGCGCGACCGGTGCTCTCCTTGACCCAGGTATAGTCGTCGTCTCCGATTGCTCCGACCGCGGGTTCGCCGGGCCGCGTTCGTCGCCGGGCGGCTCCCACCAGGCGCCTCGGGTGCGGAGGAGCAAAGCCTCGGAGCGATCTACAACCCCGCCGCGGTGGACGAGTTCTTCGCCCAGAGACCTTGGGCGGTGCTCGCGAGGCCGGGGGGGGGGCGCGAGGCGCGGGAGTCCGGCCAGTGCTGTGAGTCGGTGGTGTTTGGTGAGGATGGAGACCGAAGTCGAACGGTTTTTGCGGGGATTTGGTGGAATTGAGATGAAGATCTCAATCATCAGATGTTGGGAAGTGGTCAAACGTTCAGGCACCAGGGGAGTCAATGTGCAACCTGAAAAGAAGGAGCCAGTCTGGTTTGGTTTCTTTCATCTAATCTATAGTTTCTGGTGGAGACAGATCCATACCCTCTTGGAAGTCCTAAAGCCAAGCATTTTACCCACCCGAAGCCTCTTGGGTTGACACTTTGTAGGTGGCATCTCTTCTCTTCATTTTCTCCTCGTCGCTGTCCGTTGTGCGTCAGGCTGCTGAAGGTGCTGGCCGGCGCAGCACGTTGCGCGCTGCCGACCATGAGTCAGGCAGGATGGGAGTGGAGCGCTGGCGGCGTCCCGTTCCTGTTTTGGTTCGACCTTTCTAGGACTCCAAGGAGGGAAGATCGTTGTGGTGTCTATAAACAGCCTCTTAGAGGTGATTCGGGGTGCCCAAAGAAGGTCCTGGTGGTTGCTTTTTGTTCTTGTTTCTTTCGCGCGTGGTTCAGCAATATACAAGATGTTTTAAAGAGTTTTCTTTCCGACCCTCCCATTGACCCTGGTAATTTTCGTCTGCACGGCAGCAAACAAATTGGCAACAAGTCCCGAGCAATCATCGCAAAGGACTCTCACATGGTATAAACGGGCAAAGGCCCTTTTGATCCTCACAAAGGATGAAAAACCCAAGCTAGCCCTGACCCGACGTCTGGCGCGAGGATTCCGCATCAGCCGAGCGCCTGGTGGCGCGGCGGGTGCGAGAACTCTTCACTGAGCTTGGGCCGACCTACATCAAGTTAGGCCGGAGCAGGGCGTTTCTTTTCAGAAGCAGCAACCTTTTTGGTAGGTGGCGAGGAGGTGGCGAGTCGCCCCAAAGATATGCGAGAAACAGATCCAACACAATGGTGAACAGTCTGTACCACAGTCAAAATTCAACCTGAGAAGGCAGCACTGCTAAGGCGTTCAGAAGCAATTCATCCCCAAAAAACCTCTCTCCCGAGTTCCTCGGTTCCATCTGCATCGGCGGCTTCGGCTTTTTCAGGTCAAGCCCTGAGCGTGCGCCCCGATGTGCTCCCGGACCGGTTGGACGGTGTCGGTGCGGCCGGTTTGGGGTTGAGTTGCAGGAGGAGAGGAGGAAGATCGAAGAACGTGGCTTTTGGTTGAAGGCCCGGGGGGTTTTGGAATTGACGGTTCGGGAACTCAAGGCTTTTGGAGAGGGATTTGGATGGGTTTTGGCTAGTAGTGCCAGTAGAAATTTGGTACACAGCGAGTTGAAGCTTTGGTTTGATGTTTCAAGGTTCGCGTGGCCAGATAGCAAGGGTTTTGGGGCTTGGTGAAACCAGGTGAGGACGATTTCGGGTTGAATCCCGGCGGTGCCAGACGCCCGTGCTGGAAAGCATGTAAGACAACATCTGCCAGGCCAGAAGCCTATGGGAAGCCCAACCAAGGTGATCCTTCCTCAAAACCCATCCTTCTCTCAGGGTCCGCCCTACCTCCCCAACATCGACCGAGTCACTGCCCCCATGCGTAGCGCACGCGGATCGGTGTGGTGGGTTGGGTGTTCCTCGCAGGAGGCCTTTCTACAGGAGTTCCGTGAGTTCCAGGCCCTTGAACTCGCGATGGCTTTGAAACGCGTCGACTGGGCGAAGTTGGAGTTCACAGGTCACCGACTTCACAGGTCACCGAGACCTATTGGGGCCCAACAATCCTCAAGACCCGTAGCGTTGGATGCTGGTTGAAGTGATCAGGAATTGGATCAAAAAGCGTCGATTTGACCACATCCTGGGCTGACATCCTGGTTTTCGCGAGGAAACCAGTGACATGTTGTCCCGTGCCAGTGCTTCCAAGTAAGGCGGATTCACATACCTTTGGCTCACTCCAAGGATGCACAACATTCCTCAGCATTTTGTGCAGTATCTGAAACCAGGCAGTCTGAACCACCAAAGCCAGTCCTTTTTCGGTCATCTTGTGGTGAACACGATATGAAACCAAGATGGACACCCAGAAAATCCACCAGTGCACACGAGCGCCTTCTTTGCCTTCTTTGATTCACCGAAAGATAGGTCGCCTTGGCGGCTGCCAAGCGGCACCTTCTCTGGGCTCGGGGCGTCCGGTGCGGAACCGCTCCACAGCGCTCAGAGCAGGACAGTGTCACGCCCTTCAGCCACGAAGAGGCGATCCAGCTGGTCCGGTGCCTCGAGGGATGAGACGGAACGGAGCGAAGAGCTGAAGGCCTTCACGCTGAGACGAGAAGGTCATTCGCACCTTGGACGTTGACCTTCCCTCCGAAGACCCTGCAGAGCGGGACGGGTGACCTGCAGTGCGGGACGGCCAAGCATCGGCCGTACTTGAACCGACTTAAAACGCCGAACAGGTCGAGAGGTCAGAGGTCGGTCGCGACTGGCCGGGCCTGTTTTTGAAGGGTCATGACTGGTGACTGGACAAAGGTCACGAACTTTCAGAAGCGCCAGGACCCTCCGGTCGGTTCGGCTTCGACATGGTTCGACATTGTTCGACCAACTCCCAGAGGTGGGCATCACACACCTGGGCACCAGACGAACGGAAACACAGCTTCCGCTGGATCCGAAACACGCTTCTTCAAGCTGCATCCAGACACCCCTAGACTTCCAAGACCATTAAAACAATGGTTCACCTAGTTTTTGTAGTGTAAAACCCTTAGTTGATTCAGGATTCAGCCTATTAAATTAATGGTGGGCCAGGAAGCCTAGGGACACGGCTTGGATCGAACAATTGCGAAGGCGCAGGAACTTCAGAAACTTCGGTGCCGTGCCCATCCGAAACACGTGAGGAGTAGAACTGGATTCTGCTGGATTGGTGTTGGTTTTTCGCACCTCGGAGTGAAATTTCGTTCATCTGAAGCCGCTTCATCTCTTCGAGGTCTTGGAAGAGTTGAAGCTCAACAGTTTGGATGAACTCTTTCAGGCGCCCGTCTTCACTCTTTTCTTAGTTTTGCCCCCTCCTGCCACAAGCTTTCCTGTTTTTCCGGCGACTCGAACTCATGACACCTCGGCGACCTGTCGCGTCGCAGCGCGCTATGGCGGGTCTGCGGGTCGGTTTGGGGCGGTTCCGAGAGCTGCAAGAAGCCCGTCTTGTCGCCCATATGTACCACACCCAGACACGACTAATGGGACTGCCATAGGACTGCCGATCAATTGGGGTGGTGCCAGGGGGGGTCTTTCTGGGGCGGCAGTCCGGACTGGCAGTCCCAGACGAGTCGCGTCTGGGACAGGGATCCCGGCGGGGGTTCCGAGCGAATTCCGGCGACCTGAAATCAAACTCTCGGAAGCTGACCTCCTGCACGACGAAGCGACCGAGAGTCTCGGTCCACTCCCCTCATCGACGAAGACCGATGTGTGGAACCGGTATCATTCGGTCACCGGTAAGTCAACGGTAAGTGATTGAGACGAAGTTCCGAGGTCAGGTGGCCGGTTGGTAGCTGAAGTCACACCGTTTGACTGAACTGAACTGGTTGCGCCTGGGCAGGACTTTGGAGAAGCGCCCAAAGCAGCCGCTTCATTGGGACAGGCCGTGATGTGTGGGGGTGATGCTCTGTGCTGGACTTGTGATATCATGCATCAAGATGCATCAAGTCATTCCCAGTTGCAAACCTTTTGGAGCATTGGAGGTGACCCCGGTCAATGAACATTCTCGGAGCGTGTTCGTGTCATAGCTGGCAGTGTGCGTTTCTGGTTATCTGTTGAGAACAAGGCAGCAGAGCCAGATTTCAGTCCCTCTTTCTCGAGAAGCCTCCATGCAGGTCTTTTGTGGTTTGGTGGTTCCGAACCAAGGTCCAGGCACTTCTTGAATTCAGATTTGAGGCAACATTGCTTATATAATACCAGCACCTTCCCTGCCAGGTCTCCGAAATGGAGGCTTGGGAAAGGCCCTAACAGTCAGCCTTTCAATTGGTGAGCCTGTGAAGTCGGAGGCTGGTTCCTAAGCACAGATCCTATGGCTCACCCGAATGAAGGCTCGCCTGGCAACAGGTGTACAAGGCTCGCCTGAAGAACGGCCAGTCCGTTGCCGTCAAGGTGCCACCGTCGCGAACAGCCGTGTTAAGCTCGCCCATCCCATATATGTACCACAGGATCCCTGGGTCCGAACGTGAAGCGACCTCTCAACCTCTCATTGGGAGGCTTTGTTCGGTGGTGACCCGTTTTCAGCCTCCTGGTCCGCGAGCCGCGCGTCAACTCTTCGCGCGTCGATCGCGCGTCGGAAGGGAAGACCTGCAGCCTCGAGGGGTCGGTGGAAGCAGACGACCCGACCGTGAGAAACGTTTTTCGTGTCACATGAGGACCCGTCGTCGCTTCGGGTGTGTGGTCGACCGACCGTCAGGAAAGGTGCGGCGCGGGGCAGTCAGGGGTTTTTCCTCTTCCCAGACGCTCATGGGCCCTCATATGGAGGAGTCAGGGGTCTCAAATACTTAGGTTTTGAGAGACCAAGGGCTGTTTGGAGCGTCTGGGTTGATTCTTTTTGGCTTTGGGAAAGAAAGAGGTTCGTTTCCAGTCGAACCGGTCCATAAGGATCCGGTGATTTTCAGAATCAGCTCCGCGAGTCTTCAAAAGCGAGCAGAGGGGCGATGGTTCACAGCAACAGAGGTAGCTAGCGACCTGAACTAGGACCAGTCACCCACAGGTACCGAACTATAGGATAGTCTATCGGGATCTATTGGGTTCTGACCCACCTCTGTTGGTATACCAGGGACCTTCCCAGTGACCTGAGATCCGGCAGGTCGATCAGAGGTCACGTGGTACCTGGTCGGAAGAGGTCACAGGTCGTGGCAGGTCGCACCCTACGGTCAGTCGTGGAAGGTCGGCTCGATGACGGAGCCCGGATTCGAACAGGGTTGTTTGCCTGTTCTTCCCGAACGACCTATAAGGGTTTTACACTACAAGTCACCAGATCGTTCCCATTTTAAACATGGTCGACTTGACTTCCAGGGAGTTCGAATCTTTTCTTTTGTCCTTTCGCACACAGTCAAACATCAGCTCGCAGCTGTCAGGTACAGCGGCCCAGGCTGCGGGAGACGGTGGCCTTGGACCTGGTCATCGCCAGGCCGGGAAAGAACAGCGCCGCTCCGGTCATCGAGGGACGGGACGGTGGCGACGTGGCACGAAGCGGTTTTCTTTTGGGTTCCGTGGTGTGGCTTCGTGGGCGGCGCCGGTTTTTTGGGTGATGCATGCTTGTTACTTGGGGGGTGGGGGGGTCTTTTCCCCACCCATTTTGGGAGGCTTTTCCCGGGATCCTACGATCGGATCTTTCAGCAGGATGGGTTGAACAGCCCTGTCTGGTCGCCCATCCCATACGTACCACTATGGAGTCCGAACGTTCAGGTCTCTCAACCTCTCTTGGATGGGTCCGTTCGCGGGCCGGGCGCTTTCAGCGCCGGTCGCGACGGGGTGGCGACGAGGTGACCGGGTGCGACGGGTGCGGAGGGGCGGCCTGAGGCCTGGTGAGGTTCGGAGGACGGATCAACCATCGACTGTATCTTGTTTGAAGTGGCCAGGAACCAGGGGTCACATCTCGGGGTGGTGTTTGGTCCCATCCAGTGAGTGGAGTAGCTGGGCACCCCTCACCTCCCAGTTCGGCACCCCTTTGTGACTCCTGGAAGGAGCATCTTTGTATTAGTGATGGTCTTGGAGTCGATGCGGTGACCCGAGTGAGTGAATTCGGGATTGTCCTGAACACTTCGCGAGTCTCACATATAGACAGTATACCAGGAGTCACGTTCGACGGGATGCCGAACGAATGGACGTAGTCGGGGTGCCCCTGTCACATCCACTCACTTATAATTGTGACCCCTGGTAGTGAAGTCTCACATATAGACAGGGGGGGTCTTTTCACTTCCATTGTTAGTACCAGTCCTACGGATCCTCCGAGGTCCTACGGATCCTCTAAGATCCGGGTGCTTTCCCAAAAGCGACGGGTCTCAGGCGCCGAAGACCCCAAGCACCTGTGAAAAGTTCGAGGGGGCAACGGCCTCTGTTGGGGGCACTGTTGGTCATACCAATCAAGCACCAGTTTTTGGGTGTTCAGGCCGCCATACACCTGTCACCACGCCGCCATACGCCCCCCAAAAGCACCATTTCCTGCGGTGATCTGCAGGCAAATGGCCAAGTGTTTGGCCATCTTCTCCGACCAGCTTCCAGAAGGCCAGTTCTTTTTTCATTTCGGGCGATGTGGGACGGAAGAAAAGAAAGTGGTGTTGTTCCACCCACCAAGACCCCCCAGACCAACAGTGCAGCGGATCAGCCTCCCAACCCTTGTCCCAACCCTCAGAGCTTCAGCCAAGCTTTTCTGGGAGTTCAGAGCAAGTCTATGACCCCACATCCGTTGCACACCCCAACCGCCCGGTTTCCGCGGGTGAGCCGCGGACGGCGCAAGCGCCGCGGAGCCGCAAGCGCCGAGGCGTGCGGGGCACGGACTGGGTGGAAGTGGTGGACGCCTTTGGACAGCGACTCTTCGAAGAACTGGACTACGTGCCTTGGGAAGAAATGAGGTGAGAAGGTGAGAAGGGGCGAAGATGGTGAGGGTGGGTGTAAGGCGATGGTTACCTTTTAAGGAAGGGATGTGTTTCGGGTCAAGAATCTGTATACTTTGCAGGTGAAAGGCTTTGATTCTGTGTGTATCAAGAAACAGCTTGGAAGGAACAGGATCATTCGATCAAGAAAGATTCTACGGACTCTTACCCTGGAAGTCCCGTTGACTATATATTTTTAAAGAACAGGTTGATCAGGTTTTCTTCGTGTAAAGTCCGCCAAAAAAAGAACAGCTTGGTGCTTCGGGAAGGACATCGGCGCTTCAAGCGCCACCAACGACTTCCGGGACATCGTCTCACGCCCCCTCACACCACCACCTCACAGTCTCACACCACCTCCGTGGAGCGTGGATGAAGACGAGCACCCTGCTTGAAGCACCACGGAGCTCTTCAGCTCTCCTCCTTCTCGCCCGTTGTTCGTGGGACCTGGACCTGGACCACGGCGGAGGGAAGAGAGGGGGTTGCTTCACTCGAGCCGGCCCGAGGAAACCGAAGTGAAGCCCCTCGGAGCGGACCTGCGTCGCGGACCGCGCGTGCGTGGCGGTGGGAAGGGGGGGGGGAAGGGGGCGCTCTGAGGTTTTGGGTTTTGGGTCGAGACCGGGCTGGGCTTGTTCTGGGGTGAAAGCGCTTCAGCAGTTCGAGTTCCAGGAAGACAGAGGCATCGTTGCCAGAGTCTGGTCGGTGGCGAGCATGGAAAAGAGGTGTTTGACCTTCATTGACCGAGGGGGTTTGACCATCTTGTTCAATTGACCAGACGTTCAGAAAGAGTGCTGCAAGCTGGTGCTCACGCGAGCTTCGAGCAGCACGAGTGGCGGAGCCAAAAACTATACTGCCCCAAGAATCAGGGCCCGAACCAACACATAGGGTTTGGTTCGGCCCGGACCCCTCCGTAGGTGTCTCCGACCCCTGCCATGGAGAGCCCAACAATTCTTAGGGTGTATAGATTAGAGTGTGCGTTTGTTTGTCTCGGTCGGTCTCCACAGGGGCAAGCACATAGGATGTCAAGGATGCAGTGTCACTCGGGCAGCATAGCAGACATCACCAACGGATTGCTGATTTTTAAATATGTTTTGAGAAAAAAATACACTGCATTCCAGATTTTAAACACTGCATTTTAGAAAAAAATATGTTTTGATTTTAAACACTGCATTCTAGAGCAAAAAAATACACCCTCCAAGCTAAAGCTTAAGCTATGTGCCATGTGCTATCTAGCAATTCTAGCGGTGAGCAAAGCCTCAGCACCTTCGGTGCGGCCTGGACTTTCGGACCAAAGCAAGCACTGACTTGTTTTTTTCCCCAAACAGTTTATTGTTAGGGGTTCTCAATTCTTTCTTAAGATGTGTCCACCCTTTCTGTCTGTCTCACCTGTTTGGGGTCTAAGGTGGTGTAATATTTTTTGAGGATTTTGGGAGGGCGCCACTCAAAATGCACTTACAAATCAAAGAAAGGCGCATCTGCCGCTGGTAGCTCCCTCTCTCTGCCCTTTCGTTCCCAGGGTCGCTGCGGTCAGCACACCCGAGGAACGCTCAGCGCTTCAGGGACCTCTATGGCGACCAGGAAAAGCTGAAGGTGCACAGTGCCACATCCCATGCACCTGGCTGGGTGGATGGTGGGTATGACAGGACTCCTGGTGGTGATGTGGCATGGTTCATCGCGCCGGTTGGACTGGACTCGGAGGACCCGCCGAAATCGGTGGATCTTCACCTCTTTGGGGTGATGAAGGGGTGAAGGGGGGGTGAAAATCTCAGAGTCAACATGAACCAAGAGAGGTTGAGAGACCTGAACTAGGACCCCATAGTGCTACGTATGGGATGGGCTATAAGGCTGTTCAACCTCTCTTGGAATTTCTGAAACGTCAGTCCAACGGTTGACTCCGCTTCGCTCCGCGAGTTCGCCCGAAAGCCATGGCCGATCCTATACTAGGTCCGAAAAACACACGATCCACCCAGAAAGCTCGCTGACGGGATCTGAGTGAGTGAGGCTGGGAGCCGCCTGCCTGTTGGACGAAGATCTCCAAATAGATCTGGGACTGGGACTGGCATCTTCACATAGGGCTGGTTGAAAAGAGGTGAATGTGCTGGTAGGTTGGACGTGTCAGGCAATATAGAGGTGAAACATTTCCCTTGGGTTTTCGGTGGGTTTTAGATGGTATTATATAGTTGTGCTATCGTTGTACCTTGAGGGCTGTGGGTCTTTCATTCAACCATATTTCGGTTGATTTGGGTTGGCAGTGGTTTTGTAACTTTTTTTGTCTAACCAACCAGTTCTTGAAGTCTAGGCAACTGGCATCAACAGGTCACACCACCGAGAGGGGGAGCAACGTGCGTGCCGAGCAACGGTGCCAGGTGCCCACGATGTATCCCAGCTTGACGACGCGCAAAGTCATTGCACCTCGTCACACTGGGAGTGCGGGGTTGGCACTGCCGCGGCCAGGGGTGTTCAAAGCTTGGCACATGCCGTTTGACATTGGTTTCGAGGCACATGCCGTTTGGTGTTGAGAGGCATGGCCTCGGGGCTTGGGAGATACTCAATGAATTGGTAAAGTGGTTAAAAGCAGACGGTTTTAGTTGTGCCCGTGTTTTCAAAGCCGTTTCTGATCTGGGCCTGGCCGTCTTTGAAGGTCTTATCTCCCGACACCCGGTGTTTTTCCAGCCCTTTCTGACACACGTGTTGAAAAGCTGCAGCCGTTCAAAGCAACTCCGTCTTTCCGATCGGACGGAGGGGCATGCAGCATGGCGGGGATGGGCACCTGGAGCGGCCCCGTGCGCGGTTGGTCTGGTGCCAGCCCCCCTGCCACAGGTGGATTTGGGCATACCAACAGAGGTGGTTTTCGTGACCAGGTCACGAGTCGGACCCGGAAAACCTGGGGTACCAAACTGGGATAGTCGAACGTTCGGCTTCTTCAAGCTTTGTTGGTGTGCTGCTGGATTTGGACCTCCCTGGGGGGCCAAACCTGCCGACCCGTCTCCGGTGGTTACCCCACGACTACCGTCTCCGTCGAGGAAACGGGCTCGCTCGGACCACTGGTGCCCACGTTTCCGAGATCGGCCCACACCCAGATCTGGGTAGGATCTCCCTAGACTTCCAAGACCATTAAGAAAATGGTTGACCTGGTGTTGTACTGTAGAATCCTTAGTTGATTCGGTAAAGCCTATTAAATTAATGGTGGTTGGAAGCCTAGGGATCTGGTGGATTGCTATCTTTGAATGCCGCTTCTTCTCCTCGGCGCCTTTCTTTTGTTGGAAAATGGTTCTCGATTTCCACATCCTAAACCCCAGCTGCTCCAGCTTCCCCCCCAAATACACCTCGCGTACTCACCACTTGCCCACACGGTCCTCACCACGTCGTTTTCTCCGTGAGCCTCTCACGCGAGCAGCGCGATCGCGTGCAGCGCGACACGTGTCGCGCGCTCCACGAGGTCATGGAGTGGATCGATGGTGCCAAGCTCACGGATTCCTCCGCCATCCGCGCCCTAGGCGCCGGCCCGGAGACCGAGACGAGGAGGACGGGACCGACGTGTTGAGGAGGAGGACGGGTGGTTCGGTCCATGGGTTCAGGTCAGGTTTTTGAAGGCCAGACGAGTAGACGAGTGACTTCAAGTTGGGAGCAAAGGAAACCGGTGATCGAGTTCTTCCTTAAATCCGTCCTTTCCTCTTGCTCCGGAATATCATACGGTAGTAACATGGATATACATCCAGTGCCTGGGGTTGGAATGGTCAACTTGGCCAACGTCTGGCAAGAGCAAAAGCATGAACCAGGAGGCACATGTCGGGGTGGTGTTTAGTCCCTAAGTGAGTGGAGTAGCTGGGCACCCCGAATCTCCATGGATCGCACCCCTTGGTGACTGCTGGAACTTTTGTTTCATGTGGAATGTCGACCACAAGCAACAGTTCGGAGTCGATGATGCCGCCAAGATTGGCGATCGCATCGACTGCTTGGAGCACATCACGACATTTGGGCGAAAACAAGTGCCACAATAGTTTCTTAAGCAATTCCAGCGTCCAATACCTTTGCATCATCGGCCAGCAATTGATTGTCTCCGACAATGATCTCCAAGCCTATAGTGCTGTGTGAGCTTGTCCCTGTCACCTCTGGCATGACTTCCAGAATCATGACTTCACCACTCGGCTGTAGCATTGAATGTTCGTTGCCATAGCTCAAACGCTACGGAGTTGAATTTGAGCTGACTGCTTGTTGGCCTCGACGAGCAGTTTATGATCATGAACACATGCATGTTTGGCTGCTTCACTGGGATTACGACAGCCTATCAGTCTAGATGGGTCCCAGTGAAGGAAGAGACCTTGAAGAAACCTTCATGACCTCCGGGTCGCCGTGCCACGTGCACTTCAAGAGGGCAGCGCTTCTTGGCCCCGCGCGCGTCGCGCCTCTGCTGCGCGTCGCGCGCGCGTCAGCCAGGCTTGCAGCCCCTACCGTTCATCTCGATAGGCGCGGCTTCGATGGGCGCTGCAGCCGCGTTCGATGGGCGCGGCGCGTTCGTTGGGGTGTGCCGGATGGGTGAGTGCGCGCGGCGCGCGTGCGTGCGTGCGTGCGTGCTCGGTAGATGGGGGAGCAGCAGGTGGTTTTGGAGTGATTTGCTCTGGTTGTGTTGAAGTTCATGTCCAAAGCTGTGTGGGAATCTCGCTGCTAGCCATGTCAGGTTGCAGGAATGACTCATTGCTCCAAGAACTTGGATTGATGCCTCGCCTCTTCCAATCTTTCTTTGATACCTTTCGTCTTCTTTCACTCCCCACCGACCTCGCTCGCGGTCTTCACCCTTTCACCGACTCGCCCCTTCACCGCCTTCCTGCCGCCTTTGCGAGGCATCGAGTGTGCGATGCGGCAGCTCTTGGAGCATGGCTTCTTCCATGCGGATCCACATCCTGGGAACTTCATCGTGACCACACAGGAGCGGGGGAGAAGCAAGGTCCTACTTGATACACGTGAGGTCCTACTTGAGACACGTGAGGTCTGTGTTTGGTCCACAGGAGGCGCGGAGAAACACACCGTTCTTCAGCGCTGCTTTGGTGCATGTTGCAGCGCGCGCGCTTTGAGATGCTCGCGTCGCGGTGCTCGCACGCGCGGAGCGTCGCGGTACCACGGTGTCCGCGCTCGCGGAGAAGACTCCGCTGTTTTGGGCGGTGGCGACGTCGATCGAGGGCGGGGAGGAATGGGTTGGGGGGTCCACGATGGATCGGGTTGAGTAGCACTTGCCCTGGGAGTCGACTAATAACTGGTCTGACGAACGGTGGCACGAGGAACTGGGAAGATCCTGAAACCTTCAGTCAACATATTCAGGAAGATCCTGACACCTTAAGTTCAGGAAGATCCTGGAAGATCCTGAAACCTTCAGTCAAAGTATATAGTCTTTCAATGTCTTTCACTGGACGTCGAAAGGGTTACGCGTCAACGGCGCGTCAACGGCGAAGGGCGAGCTGTGCGTCCTGGACTTCGGGATGATGAGCGAGATGCCGAAAGAGGCGCGCTTGGCGGTGCCTCGGCGGAGTTCCGCGACGTACGGATCGTGTGGGGTGAAGAAGGTGGCGGCTTTTGATTTTTGATGGATCACTCGTGATGCCATGCATGTCATGTTCACCATGTTCTGCTGGTTGGGCAGAATCAGAACTTCGACTCTTGCAGAACAGAAAAAAAACCTTGCGCGTTTTTGGGGCCAGGTCAGAGCTTGGCGGAGTTCAGGGATCGATAGGTTTCATCAAGTTTCATCGAGTTTTTTAACTCCAAGTCTGTCACATTTGATTCATTCACTTTGGACAGACTCATGAAGCTCCAATCTGCAGCACCTTTCAAACAGCTTCAAACAGCACCTCCTCGCCTCCTGTATCAAGATGGAGTGGTTCTCTGCAATGGCTATGGTCATATCTGGCCTCCTTTTGCTTCTTTGCCTGGTTGGCATTCTATATCTCTTCCGGGTCTGGCTGCAGAGCCTGTGCGCCGATTTGGACAAGCCTGCATACACTCTGGGTGCTACTGATTGGACGCGTCGCGTCTGCTCCTCATGCTGCGGCGATGAATCACAAGAAGCAGGTCTGCTCCCGGCATGCAATTTCTCTGGTGATGAAGAAGTAGTCCCGCATCCTGGGCAGGAAGTGATTGATCAGGAAGAGGATCAAGAGGGAGAGAAGGAGGCAGCGAGCTTGTCTCCCAGACCGTGGCAAGTCTGTAGATGTTCATTTTGGAAGATCGCTTTGATAGTTGGTGCTGGTCTCACAGACCGTGGTGTCACACATTGAGACATTCCATATGCAATAGTGTTTTCTCTATGACAGAAAATCCAGGACCAACAACCTTTCCCGCGCATATCGGATGTGTTGGACCTACCTGATTATATATCTGATGACCTGTCAAACCAGCCTTTCGAACCTTGCAGCTTGTTGTGCAGTGCCTTGCAGGTGGAAGAGAAGACACACCACCTGGAGGAGCTCATCAGGGTAAGACTTAGATGGGAGGCCCGTCTCATGGTGGTCCTTCCCATGGTGCCCTTTCTGGCGGCGCCATGGACCAGCTGCACGGGCGGCATGCCCAGCTGGGCATACGGCCTGTACTTGCCTTTCCTCTTCAAGGCCAAAGTCTTAGAACCTTGCACAGATTACTCCCCCTTGCAGAGGACCACATGGAACCCCCCAAAACCATCCAAAACCACTGGGTTGTAGAGGAAAATGGTCGAAACCACCGGTCCATTCTCTTTCTCTTGTTCCATGTTAATGTTAGCTCGGAACTGCGGGAGAGTGGCCGTTGGCCAAGATCCTGGTGTGGTTCACGTGAAAACCCCCCTCCTGGTGTTGTTGAAGTCAAAGATGACACGAAATGACCCAGCAACGTGGATGGCACAGTCCTCCGGTCCCCAAAGATGACCTTCCAAGAAACGAACAGGGCGGGTGAAATCCACTCCACTTCCGGGGGAGGTGTTCCTTGTGGAGTACACTTGTTGGTGCTGGAACCTGTTTGATGCATGAACGCAGTCTGAGGAGGCTGTGATGCTTCAGGATCTGAACTCGGCGGCAGACCTTCGGAGTTTTGGCTTCTGGCTCTGGGGCCCTCTGGAGCACTTAGCACCTTGGATCAGAGAAGAACCACACACACCGGACGCACGGTTCGTCCGGCGCGTTTTTCTTCCGCTCGGTCAACAGGCTCAGAGGGTCCGACGACGACCTGGATTGTTGGGGCGTTTGTTGGGGGAACGGAGAGGTTTCGATGAGGAGAACCTCGTCGTTGATCTTCTTTGGATGTCGTCCATCTTCTTTGGATGTCGCCCCGTTCTTTAAGGCGTCCGTTTTTGGGGCACCGTGGGTTGGCCTCGGAAAGGGTTTTTCCACGCCACCCGCCTCGCCTTAGTCCCTCCGACTTCCGAGGACATGTTCACCGACAGTGCCATGCCTCTCCAGGCCGCCTCCTGCGACCCGGCGGCCACCGAGCGCTTCGTCGCCGCCTTCCGGGGCTCGGGGCTGTCGGAGCTGTGGACCCCGCTGGCGGCGTGGCTGGGCTTGTCAGGGCTCATGGCCTTGGCGTTTCTGTTGGCTACTGCCCTCCAGCAGGCGTTCAGTTCGACGTTGGAAGACTCAACGTTGATGGCAGCACTGGGGGCAGACATTGCAGGCCTTCATGGCTTGTCTGCCTACTTCGAACGTGATGCAAGTGTCAAGAACAAAAAGGTGATGGTGGTGATTTTGGTGAAGGTTTTAGCCGAGAACCTCCCCCAGCTCTTCCTGCAATCGGCCTTTTTCAGCGCCTCCTTCAGCCGCTTCAGCGGCTGGGGTCGGCTGAAGATCTTGATGTCGATGGGCCTTGGGATCATCAGTGTACTAAAGAAGCTGTCCAAGCTGGCCATTGACATGATCTTCACCGTTTGGAGACAACCTGGAGAGCCACGCCATGAGGGCTTGTGCATCCTTGTGGCCTTCATTCTGCCAGGACTTGGGCTGGTCGCTTGGGTGCTGGCCCGCATCATCATGGCTCACCGTTGCGCGAGCCATGAGTGGAACCTGGCCACGGGATGTGCCGCCACCTTCAGCCAGGGGTGAACGTTTGTACCTGCTACCCTGGATAGATACCAATTCCAGTCCAGGATGCTAAAAGACAACAATTAGCGACATGGACAACAAAAGGTGGTTACAAGATGTTATAAGGTTTAGCAGGTATAGCTTTGGATGAGGACCGATGCTGTGAGACCTCAAGTCCAGGATGACTGGGTCGACCGTCGGAACCGACTGAACCCTGTGAGACCCAGCAGGTGTGATGGGAAGTGTAGCGCAAGAGATGCGGAACATCTACCAGCACTATCCCATCTTGAGTGGATATTGGAAGGAACACGAAGGAACATACCTCATCAGAACGGTCCATCCACGAAAACCATCATCGGCGCGAAACCGGCGGACCTTGGTCAACCAGCTGGACCGGGTGGCTTCATGGAGCTTCGAAGTCCAGTTCCGAACGTGTTCAGGACGGGTCAGCTGGGTCACCGAAGCTCTGGCAGTGGCAAAACACCGTGGTTCGAAAAAGGGACACATGGGAGTGATGGAGGGGTGGAGTGATGGAAGGTCTATAGTACTTCAAGATACTTCAAGGGTGTTGCCACTGATCCGGGAGAAGGAGGAGAGAGCCAGAATTCAGATTCTTAGAAGAACCCAGTCGCAATCTCAGCTCTGTTGTGTCTGTTGGACATTGTTGGAACATGTTTTTCCATTGGTGGCCTGAACATGGGTGTGTAATGGGTGTGTATTGAAAAAGAGAGACCTCCCAGCTCCACACCCCGGAACAAGGAAAATATATCAAAGCCTTTGCCAAAATCCATTTGGGAGTCTCCCTATTAAATTACACACCCAAATGGCGCACGTCGGACAATCCCGAGTCAGACTGTCACAGCCATTACGACGCGCGATGTCATCGTGAAGAGTGAAGCGAGTGCTGGGGATGGGTGCATGTTGACTCTGTAGATGGGACAGGCCCATATAAATCATTGAACTTGGGGGCCCAGGTCACCATCGAACCTCTGACACCCACTCGGACGTGCCAACGGTCTCCCCAGTCGGTCTCGGCCCCGGTGGCTTTTTCAGCCTCACCGGTGTGCCCTCGGTCCTCGCAGACGGCTCATCCATCGGCGACCGTCGGTCCTCCGGTCCTCCGGATTCATTGACCAGAGGAGGACCGGAGGAGGACCGGAACCACGTGAAGCAATGGACCGACGCCGTCAGTCTAGGTGTCTATCAATAACAGCCTCGTTTGTAGAGGTGATGATTCGGGGTGGTCCTTCCAACCACCGGGCGAATGGAATCGGTCCTGGTACAGAAATTGGTTGTTTTGTCATGGAACCATGACACCTGGAGCCCATTTCACTCACTCCTGGTGAATTGACCCTCCCGCAATTCGGTTGTCGGTCGTCGGTCGTCTGATCGACGTCGACTCCGGTCGACTGAACGCGTGGTCGACGGGTGTCTTTCGGTGCCATAGCCAATGTGATGAAGGCGACCCAGGCGTATTGGACCAACGCAGGTGGTCAGTATCATGACCAACGGATTCATAACGCATCGGACACTTCTTTGGAAACAGTTCCAGGATGTTCCAGGGCTTTGTTTTCTATTTTAGATTATGTTAGGGAGGAGCATGTTCTGCCATAAGACTCTTGGACTACAAAGCCTTTTGGCCCCTAAGGTGATCCAACACATTGTGCACGTCGTGAACCGTGTCTCGTCCAAAACCGTGTGACGTGTGACGTGAGTGGGGAGATGGGTCTGTGCAGGGCTCCTACTTCGAGGATACCTGCCTGGCAGAAGACCACATGGACCCGCAAAAACCGGCATTAGACCCTCCAACCACCATTAATTTAATAGGCTTTATGGAATCAACTAAGGATTTTACACTACAAAAACCAGATCGTTCCCATTTTTTAAAGGGTCTTGGAAGTCTAGGGTATACATTAGTCCCTCCAACAGGTCTCCTCTTGGTGGCTTGGAGACTCCACACGTCGCAGCGCGTGGTGACCGAAACCGCCAGGTCGATGTGGTCTTCGGAACACCGTCCGAGCGTCCGAGCGTCCGAGCGAGCGTCCATGTGGCCCCGTTTTTCCTGCGGGGCGGGTGGAGGGTTTTTGGTATCATTCTTTGGGTTTTGAGTGAGGTTTTGATGGTCCAAAGGGGTCCAAATGGGGTGCAAACTGGAAAGCTAAACACAGCGAATGCGGATTGCGAGGGTTTTGGGGTACAACATACATGAGAGAGGTGTTACAATTGAAGTTTTTCAAGTACCATGGCCATATCGAGGCTGTGTATGTTGTGCCAATGTTGGAACTCTATGGCACTTCCATCATTTGGATGTGACCTTCGCCCCACCAGTGATGACCAAGCACCTAGCATCGCAAACCTCTTCCTTCGGGATGTCTGGGACGAGACGCAGCTGGACTCCTGCGACTGCAGAAGCTGCTGGAGCCCCACCACCGAGCGCCGCAGCAGTACCGAGACAAAGGGACGCCGCTTTTTTTCCCCAACGCGACGAAGCGTCGACTGCCAGGACGGCCAGGACGGACGGCCAGGGGACTAGCTGGATCGAAAGCTGACGTGCAGAAATGTCTGCCTTCACATCCACCAAATGTCTGCCTTCATTTGGCATCCATTTTGCATGTCGTTGGTTTCGATCCAGGTACCAGTACCCTCCGAATGCCCCTCCTGGAAGATCCAGGTCCGATCGCATAGGTCACCAGGTATGGTCCACTGAGAATCCATTTCAGCAACACCCGGGAAGAGACCCACATGGAACCTGAAAATTGACCGGACTGGAAGACTATTGTCCTCTACAACCCAGTGGTTTTCAGGTTTCAAAACTCGGAGACCTGGCAGGTTGACCGGGTCCAGGTACATCGGTCGTGTATGGGTTTGATGGTAGTTTCGCCTCTTGTGGCCCCGCATGGCATGCCCATCGCATGCACAAGGCGATTATGCTGGCATGGCCAGGGACTACCACCATTTGGGCTTCATTTCGGAGGACACCGAAGCGTTGGGACGATGAGTGGCGCCAGGGGCCAGGAATATGTTGATTTTCTTTTAACTGTTTCATTCAAGTCCTGTTATAGTCGCTTGGGGCTACACTGGAATCAGCAGAGCAAAATCCCTCCCACTCCTGAAAGCTAACTAACACGGACCCTGTGTTCCTGGCACCTTGAATGACTGTGTTCCTCTACAAACCAGTTTTCAGGTTCCATGTGGGTCTCTGGAAGAGGGCATAAATCTTGGTATCGAATGGATCATCTTCACGTCTGAGATGCTTATTCTGAGCTGCCAGGAGGCGATTAGAAGGTCCTGGACTGGAGGGTGAGTCCCTATGCCAGTCGCCAGTCCGGTGTGGCAGTTTGAGTCGACGTTTCGATCTGTGCACTGTCATGGGATCACCTTCCAGCTCGTGGACCTCTCTCCACTACCTACCGCCCTGGATTTCATCAAGTCGATCAAGTTTTAAGTGGGTGTGACGAGCTTGGTGACCCGAGTTGACTTCGGTGTTGTCAATGATCTTCCCTGGACTTCTATACGGGCTACCTACCCGCCCTCCTGGGGTGCGCTTGGTTGATCGCGCCTCTCCGGCCTTCGTGCGCGAATGCTGCGGAGGACATTGATGTGAGGCCGATCGTCCCGCAGATCCGGGACTATTTCGAGCCGCGGATGTCCAATTCCGCCGCCGCAGCCGGGGGAACTCGTGCGGGGGGGGCCGGTTTGGTGAACTCAGGAGAGGGTGGGTGCAAGTGGAGCAAAAAAGGAAGGCGTTTTTGGTGGCTGAAGTGAGGTCTATAGAATGTGGTGATCCCCGGAATAGAAAGAAACATAAGTCCTGTCAGACATATTGTGCATTGGATAGTCTCAGTTCTACAGTCTTCAGTATCTATTTTCCTGAGGGGGACGGCACAACAGGTCAGTGGTGTGGGACACTCGGCATCACTTCGTGGAGTCTTTTTGGACTAAGAAGCTCTTGGACGTATGCCCTCCTGATGATCTGAAAAGGAGTGTCCTGAAGACGGCGAAGTGGTCCCAAAAAATCGTCCTTGCACTTCTAGGGAGAAAGACTTCTAGGGAGATTCAGGTGATTTTTGGGACTTGGAAGACTTCCAGGGCAGCAGTCTCCAGTTCTTCGTCCACCACCAGCGACCCTCTCCATCAATTCCACCCAGAGACACACCTCCGCGTGAGCCACCTCACAGATCTGCCTCATCGTACCCAGGAAGTACGTGGATCACATGTAGGTCACCTCTTTTGAGGGGATTCGGGAGACTCCACTCAACAAGAGTGGAGCAAGGTTAACACATTCTTTTTTTCATATTTTCCATGCTCCCCTCAACCACCGATCGTGAGTGGGGTGAGACAGACCGGCGACCCCTCCATACAGCTAGGGAGTTCCCGAGCCGGGAGTCTGTAAGCTTGGCTCCACAATAGAAGTCCAGGAACCGACGATGTTCGGCACCACCCAGAAGGTAACATCCACAAACAGGCACAAACATACACAAACCATATAATATACCCCTAGAAGCCCTAGAAGTCCAGGAACCGACAAGTTCCGAGTCACTCGGATTCACCTGAGGCTGGTCGACTGGACGTTGGAAGTCGGATTCACCTGAGGCTGTAAGCTTCAAGACCATCATCGACGGCTTGGAGGAGGTGACTTGGCGCGGCAGCAGGCAGAACTTCTGCCCTTCATGAAGGTTGAGAAGTTCCTTCCACCCTAGACTTCTGTTCGACCATTAAAACAAGGGTTGGTTCTTGGTCGTGTTTATTTCCTGATTCGGTCCTTGGCCGAAGAGTGGGTCGGCCAGCCGAGCTCGGGTTTTCATGGAACTCACTGGACTGGTTCTCGAGCACCTGCTCGTGTGGGTGTGGGGGTAGGCTCTCTAGAGATCTCTCTGTAGGACATGACTGTCATGGTTGGGTTGCGCCTGGGTTGGTGTCTTGTAGTCATTGTAGTCCCACCATGTTGTGGGGACAATGTTGGAGCTACTTGTGAATTTGCACATCTGTTCCCCTAGCATTCAACATTGCCAAGCAGCCCCGCAAGACGAGCAGGGTCTATGACACCATGACTTATCATTCTCATCACAAGAGAGAAGAGCTCTGCTTTCCCCTCTTTTAGTGCCAACAAGATCGAGCCTCCTGACAGTGGCTGAGGTAATTTTTAAGAACTACCCCTTCTCCGTGCCCGCCTTCTACGCTTTGGTCGTGCGTTGCTGGGTTGAAGTGGGGCCGGGCACGGAACACTTAGCAGGTAAGAGGCGAAGCTTTGGCTTGGGTTTGCCTTGTGAGCCTTGAACGGCTCAAAATATCCAAACATGCTACTTGGTTCACTTTACTCACTCCTCAGACATGTAGGTCTTCCACTTGAGGCGCGCTCTGCCCCGTGACCGGTCAGGGTGAGCGAGCTTATCGTCACGTGGATGGACGCAAACCACCCCAAAGGGCTTGAAGGAGCTTCCAGTCCAATTCCAGCTCTACCCAAACCAACAGAGGTTGAAGAACCCGAACTAGACTATCCTGGTTCGGTACCCCTGGTTTTCCGGGTCCTAGTTCAGGTCACTCTCCACCTCTGTTGGAAAGCGAACGGACACAGAGATGTCCTCTGTCCACATGCTGTCCACAGTCTTCGAAGTGCATTTTCGAGTGTTAGGCTCGCCGATGTCCAGTTCGTATTCTCGAAGGCGTGTTTGGATCTCAGTCTGCTTCCTGGTACCCTGGTTTTCTTCCAACTACTCAGTGAACTGACCATGTCTGCCGACTCACCACATCAATTTCTCGCTCGCTCTGGTTCGGAGGGGGTTCTCCCGGTTCCTTGATCCGGTCGAGCCCCCGAGCTCGCCTTCCGCAGCCAGCTGTGTGGGTCGCAGGGATCTGGAGGTCAGTTGGGGATCTGGAGGTCGTTTTTCTCCGGAGTGGATGAGAAAGAGACAATAGACCCAGCACCTGCTCGGACGAGAAAACCAGATCACCACCGTCGAGACGTCAGCAGCATGGAGCCTCCAAAACCTCGGAGACATGGTCGACCTGGTGCTGGGAGTCATGAGATGGTCAACCTAAGAGGGTCAACCTCGACCTGGTGAGTTCGGGGCTTTCCGATGACCGGACCGGTCGTCGGTCGACCGAGGAAGCTTGGTGACCTTGGAGGGCTTAGCTCTCTCCATCGACCCCAAGTGCGCGCGCGCTCGCTCGCGTGCACGGCTCGGCTTGGCGCTGGGGCTCGGTGGGACGGTCGTTTGGTCAAGAACGCGTTCATCTGGACCTCCAAATACCAGGGCCAGAAAAGGGGTGGTTTTCATGGACACCCCGAATCACGGCTTTTTGGGGCTATAAATAGCCCCACGGTGTCGGGTCCTAGATAGACGTTCAGTAGATCCCCCACGTAGAACATATGTATGGATAGATCTGCCACGGTCATCTAGTTGGGGAGCATTATACATGGAGAACCCATGTTGTTTGTTTTTGTTTGAAGGAAGTTGCTTTGCTCGCCTACGGACTACACTGTTCATTTCTCAACATCCAGGAATTCACAGTCCATTTTGGTCGAAGTAAGTGCAATGACTATCATGAAAGGAGGTGAGCGAATGGGCTGCCTTGGTGTTTCGGTGGTCGTTTGAGGAACCAGGCACCAGGCTGGCACCGATTCGGTGTTTCTGAGCAGAACATCACCCGAACACTCGTGTATCTCACGACAACGTCCACAGGTTGCAGGACTCCGAGGCAACATCGAATTTCCAAACACAAAACCGAAGAAATGAAGCACCTCCTAAGTAGAGGTCCGGACCCTCAAATCCCTAGCGTTTTGAGGGACCAAGAGCTGTTTGGAGCGTTTGGGCAGTTCAGTGTCTTAACTCTAACAGGAAGTCAAAACTTCCCTGTGGAAAGGTCCATGTGGCAAGGTCCCAAACCTCTACGAAGCTCAGTCCTGGACACACCTGACTCAGTATACGACTGAAAGTATCACCAGATTCAGATACACTGAACCCCTGAAAGATTCAAGTCTCCCAGACGCTAATGGACCCTCCTAAGTAGGGGTCCGGACCCGAACCAATCCCTAGGGTTTGGTTCGGGACCAAGAGCTGTGAACGGAGCGTCGGGGCTGAAAAGATCCAGCCTCTTCTCCAGATGGCCGGTGAACCGTTCTAACCCGGTGAACCGATGAAGCTGCTTCAACACGAAGTCACCGGAACCTCATTCGACTGGACCGGAGCTGGGTGACGTGCGAAGCGTTCGACGCAACCAGCGAGAACAAGCACCTCTACACTTAGCACCAGAGAGGCGAACGTGAGACCCAACGCTCGGAAGCGCCCGCCACGTCCATCCCAGGGCGGACCGACCTGACCGCCCATCCACCTGGTAGACCGGACGCGAACCCGGACCCGGACGACGTGAGGGAACCCGAACGGGTGGGACGGAGCGCCACGTCCGAAGATGGCGAAAACAGAGGGGGATTGAGTCATACGAGGCCGATGTCAATCCAAGTCGTCAGACTGATGCAAAAGATCATCAATTTGGATGTGATTGGAGCAATGAAACACCCAACCTCACCCACTTTCAGGGATGAAAGGGAGACAGACCGGACTTCTGGCAGTCTATCGTGTTGGATGTTTGATCGGATAAGATGTCGAAACGTGACATGATGTGAACGAGTCCCTGATCCCAATCGGTCTGTGAGCCATGGCGATGCAGCGAAGATGAAGATCTCAGCACGGCAGCCGAGTGGTGAAGTCATGGTTCTTGAAGTCACACCAGAGACCACAGGCTGGACACTCAAGCAGCAGATCAAGGAGAGACAGCCTTGGGACGAGCTCACGCGCAGCACTACAAGTCTAAGTGTAGAGATCATTGTCGGAAACAACCACTTGCTGGCCAATGATGCAAAGGTATGGGCAGTATGCGACCCATGGGAAGCTGGAATTGCTGAAGATACTGTCGTGACTGTTGTCTTCAAACCAAATGTCGTGATATGCTCCAAGCAGTCGATGCGATCGCACGTCTTGGCAGCATCGTTGACACAGTTGACACAGAACTGTTGCTTGTGGTCGAAATTCCACATGGTGAAGCAGAAATTCGCGAAGGAGCTTTTCAGGGGTGCACCACATTGCTGGCCAAAGTGACCATCCCGCACTCTGTGACCCACATTGGGGATGTTGCTTTTCAGGGTTGCAGATCATTGGTATTGACTTGACCATCCCGAACTCAGTGACCTACATTGGGGATCGTGCCTTCGCGCGTTGCAGCTTCTTGGTGAACTTGATCATCCCGAACTCAGTGACCCACATTGGGTATCAAGCCTTTGGGGATTGCAGCTCTTTGGTTGACTTGACCATCCCGGACTCGGTGACCCACATTGAAGAAGGTGCCTTTCGTGGTTGCAGCTCTTTGGTTGGCTTGACCATCCCGGACTCGGTGACCCACATTAGGGATGGTGCCTTTTATGGTTGCAGCTCTTTGCAGAGCTTGACCATCCCGAACTCAATGACCCAAATCGGGGATTCTGCCTTTCATGCCTGCGGTTCTTTCACCTTGAGAGGATTTGACCTGTCTCCGGGACCAGGTTCGAGATGTACTGTACTGTACACGGGTGCAAAAGCATGTCACTGTCAGAGTCATGCGAATACCAACAGAGGTTGAGAGACCGCTTCACGTTCGGACCCTGGGATCCTGTGGTACAGGAATATGGGATGGGCGAGCTAAACACGGCTGTGAAAAACCTCTCTTGGTACAGCTCCCTAGGCTTCCAACAACCACCTAGGCTTCCAACAACCATTAATTTAATAGGCTTTATGGAATCAACTAAGGATTTGACACTACAAAAACCAGGTCAACCATTTTTTAAATGGTCTTGGAAGCCTAGGGGCTGGGTTTCTGAAAGCCTGGGTTTCCCCTGTCGTAGACCGGGCGCCAAGCACCGTCTGATCAACTGACCAACACCGTGAAGACGGGCGGGCGGTCAGAGATTGAGAGTGAGACGACGTCGGGCGGTCGTCTGACGAGGACTGGAGCAGTCTGGTTCAAATCGGACCAGTCAAACCTGGAGTCCCAGGGTAATCCAAATGGGTGTCCAATAAGACTATATACCTTACCCTACGTAAACAGGTCTCCTACTCCAGGGCACCCGGATAGGAAGTGCTAGTCCCAACATCTTATTTTTCGAAGTTCGTGTTTCCAACATGAGCAGCTCCAGTCGATCCAATTCCTGACCTCGATCCGGGTGACATGTCACCAACGACCTGTGAAATTCCTGACCTGAGGGATTCTTGACCCTTTTCACGTCACGCTTGGAGTCTTTTTTCCCGCCCGGTTGGAGAGCTCCAAAAGCCTCATCAAACCTGAAGTTGCATGACCGAACGGGCTCGTTCGTACCTCGGGGCGTCGTTCGTACCTGTCCGAGGCCGGCAGGAACGTTTGGAGCCGTTTTTGGGGTTTAATGGTCACAAATATCTTTCAATTACATCTGATGTGTCTTCAGGAAATGACTTTTCACATCTACCAGGCCCCCTAAGGGGTGGTTATTGGATACCCCTTAACCTCTAAGGAGCTATAATTGGACACCCCTTGGGGGGGCCCTGGTATATCTTATTTTAATGATTCATAATGTATATATGTATTTTCTAGTCACATCATCATCCAGAATCATGTCCCAAGGTCGTTCTGTTCGGGTCCATCGACCCTGGAGTCTGGTATCGAAAGGCGTCCAGGCATCGATCATGAGTCCGGTCGAGCAGCACCTTTTTCCCGAATGCCTAGCGAAGGGTTCTCGTTTAACTCTGGGGGTCTGGGGGTAGACTCTGGTTCGCGACTCGTTGCTGTAGCGTTCGCAACCGTCCGCCACCGTTCGCCACCGTTCGCGGTAGGGCGCCATGGCGCTGACATTGTGCGAAGCTTTTGGAGATTGTTTTGGATGAAAGCATGACGTGTCAGATTCGGGTGAAATAGCGAGGAAAACGTGTGGAAAGTGTGGAGGATGATTTCACAGGTGCAGCGTTTTTTGAGATCCGCAGTTTTCTTTGCAGTCAGATTGGGTTTGGCGTTTAGAGGGTGGTCTTTTGGGGGTGTTGGATGTGGCTATGGCATTGGGATTTGCGTTTCAGGCTGTTGCTTCGAAGCCATGTTTTCGTGACAAGTCTCGGCAAAAATGGCGACTTTGGTGGATGGGAGTGTGCTTAGAAATGCGTAGAACGTGTTGAAATTATTCCAAGCATGTGGTGTGGTGCGAAATTTGCAGAAGACATGAAGATGTCATGTCGTCACTTTTCGTGGTGGGTGCGTACTTTCTGCGTGTTGCCGTTGAACTTTCGTGGCAGGCGGGGGTAGTCGTGAGGTTGCGGTGTTTGATGGAGGTGACTGTCGCTGTGACATTGGGACTCGTGTGTCAGCGGTTGTGGTTTTGAGGGGCTGGGCTGGGATATAGTGAAACTGCTTGGCAGGGCTGCAGAATGTGTTGTCTCTGATGAGGCTTCCCGCTTCACTTTTGACTCGTGCGAAGCGCTCGAGGGTTGGAAACGTAATCTCCCTTTAGCTCTTCAGGAATTCATATTCGCACCATTTCCTGCCACTTGCTTTCATTCTGTCTTTCTGTGACTGAGCCGTCCCCATTGTGCCTAGAAGTGCGCTGACAGTTCTCTAGGGGAGGACGACGCAATTCGCCTGTCCGTAGCGGCGAATTCCGATCCTATGAACTCGCGAAGGAGCAGATCTGGAAGCGCCGGGAAAAATTTGTACCAAAGCCCTAGACTTCCAAGACCATTAAAACAATGGTTGACCTGGTTTTTTGTAGTGTAAAATATCGTTAGTTCGGTAGTTGGCCTATTAAATTAATGGTGGGCCAGGAAACCTAGGGAAAAATGTTTTCTCTAAGGCTGTGCGGGTCCCGCAGCTCGTTGTGCACCCCAACCATTGACCGCCCGGTTCCCACGACGTTGCCGACAGGTACCGCGTCCTGGCGGCGGCGTATCCCTACCTCGCCAAGCGCGTGCTCCTGGACGCCGAACTGCGCTCCAGCCTGGTCCCAGAGACGGAGGGAGATGGAGGGAATGCGGTGTCCAACAGAGAGAACGGAGGGCGGAGAAGTAGTTATTTGTTTTGGGAGGGAGGGTTCCTTGCAGCCAGGTGACATGGGACGTTTGGTAAATATGTGGTCTGATGGATTTCAATAGCGTTTGAGGTGGAGACCGAGATTCGCTTGGAAGGATCAGACTCAACATGGTGTCACTTCTGTGCGATGTAGTCGATTGGAAACAAGATAGGATTGGGCAGTGGATGCAGTGGATGCCAAACTTTCACCAAATCGATCTGAAGGAACTCCTGAAACATCAGCGGTTTCTTCAGTGTCAACAATTCCTCACCAACCAAACCAAATTCAACCATAGAATTGCTTGTTTTCTGCGCCTTTTCACCATCAAGTATATATGCTCTATTGCGAGTTACAATTTTCCCTTCCTGAGGCCTTTTTGAGCTCTTGGTGAACACCAAGGACCTCCGATGGGGGGCCGAGAGCACTGCCTAAGGGGCCCGCGGGTGACGGTGCGTAGTCTTGTTACGTCTCCAGCACGGAAAAAAACCATTTTCGGGGGTTTTGGGCGGCGCTTCCCTGAACTTCATCGCCCCCGGTCCCCGACACCATCGTCATCATCATCATCATCATCATCATCGTCATCATCGTCATCATCGTCATCATCATCATCATCATCGTCATCATCGTCATCATCGTCATCATCATCGTAGGTGACGCGAGTGACTCGGAATGTCCTTGACCTCGGTGGTCCTAGGTTGACTTCAGCGGCTCGGACAGACGGTCCGTCCTTGAGGTCCGTGGGTCCGTAGTACTCGGCCCCGGAGGCAGCTCTGATTCTGAGGCGACTCATCCACCCTACACAGCCTGCTCCCTCAAAAACATAGAAACCCTGAGACACCATGAAACACCCAATGAAACAGCACCAGACCCTTTCAATCCAACGCCCCTACACCTCCGTTTTCCTACCGAACCTCAGTTTCGCTGTGACTAAGACCCGAACATGGCACCCGAGCACCGGTCGTCCCACCGAAACGCTTCGGTGGCCAAACGGGCCGTGCTTCACCACGTTGGCCGGATCCTCGCCGCCTTCACGGCCGGACCCACCAGGTCACTACCAGGTCGGACCCGGAAAACCAGGGTACCGAACTGGCTGGGATAGCCTAGTTCGGGTTCTTCAACCTCTGTTACTTCTCCCAGCCACGAAAGCCTTCTTTGATTTGAGGCATTCCCAGCCACCCATTTTCCGCGCGCTGAAACATGTCTCACATCTCCCGTGAGGGTTAAAGAGGGTCCAAAAACTGTCAGTTCAGTTCTTTTTCACACGCAAACATGCCACGCGTTAGGGGCAGAAACAGCGGGCCCTCCCCATCCAAGCCTCCAATTTCACCTCACGACCTCACTCCTACCCGCGCTGACCTGCCTTCCGTCCCTCGGCGTGGCAGAAAACACCCGCACCCGCCAGGAGAGCGAGTCGCGTTCCAACCGCTTTCGCTGGGATCGGGCGATTGATTTGCCTGGGGCGCCTGATTGATCGATCAGAAGACGAGATGGGAAGACGGGAGGGAGGGGACAGGATTGGAGGGAACCGACCTTCGAAAACGGAGATGAGACAAGGGCGAAACAGAAAGCACCTTCAAAGAGCTTGCTGCATTAAGATGCTAAATCATTTTCAAGACATCTATAGAAGTTATTTAAGGATTTTGAAAGGTGATGCACGTTCCCATGTATTTCGTCGTCCTCCTACAGCAGTTGTCTGGTTTGCCTCGGCGATGCGGTTGCTTTGTGTCTCTGATTCTAAATCATTGCCTGGACTGATGGCTTTGTTTGAGTCACATGAACAAGATCCAATCCCAGTGGCTTCGCTGGAAGTGATGAGCCTTTTGACCATCGCTTGGGAGAGCAGTTGCCAGAAAACGCCTTCTGTTTCTGTCTTGGGGCCTTTTGGGCCGGCTCCAGGCCTTACTCAAAGCATCTATAAGCTCCTAGGTTTATATAGTGGAAATCCACCGTCGCTACGTTCGGGTCGTGTAGCTCCAGGCTGCGCGAATCCTCCAAGAGCAGCGTGGCAGTGCCCGGCTCCACCAGGATGCACGGGGGGTCAAGTTAGTCCCATGTCTCTTGATGTCTACAAGCTTTAAGTTCCCATCCCAATGGTTTGGTCCATGTCTTCGTCCGCGTTGGCTGCACCTTCACCGTCATGGACATCATTGGCAGGCGTGACGATATGTGACCTGACACTTGTAGTCTCCCTTTGGCTCAGTCTTAGTTTGGAAGTGTGCAAAGCATAGCATGGCCCTGCTAGCTTGCGACTGCACCGTCCTAGTCTTGGACCTTGCAGAGGGCTTGGTCACCACTCTGAACCTCAACGAAGAGGAGCATGGGGCCATCTTCTTGGCCATTTTCTTCACATCTTACACATTTGCTGATGACATCTTCCAAGCATGTTCTATGAGGTGTACGGAGTGCAAGTGGGACGACTGCATCTTCAAGATTTGCGTGGAGATTGGGCAGTGCATCTTCTTCATGAACTTCTCTCTTCCAGGCGTCACGCGAGCACTGATCGTTATGATGGTTTTCCAGGTTGTCCTCAAAATTGCCGGAACTGCCTGGGATTTTCTCATGGGAGAGAAAAAAGTGGGGAGCACCGGGGAGGCCCAAAGAAACGTCTTCCTTTCGTTCCTTTTTAGTGGTTTCCTGAGCCTTGTGTTTGGAACAGCGTTTGGAGTGCTTCCCCTTTTGTTTGCGGAAGGATCCTCTTTTCATGAAAAATGGTATGAGTGCATGGTTTGTGCCTTCTTGTGGAGTTTGCGCGTGATGGCTCAGCTCTGAGGTTACGGTTTGGAAGCTGTAGCCGCTGCTGGAGATGAAGATGACGCCGGAGATGAAACAGCTGGATATTTCTTCAATGCTTTGGTGATTTGCGGGTGCTTTGTGGCTTTGTACATTTTCATCTTCATTTGTCTGAACCTTGTAGTTGCCTTATCTTGGTGCTCACAAGAAGGTGAGCTTCCACTCTTTGACCGCGTCTACGGCGTGATGATCAGCATGGCTACGCTCCTTTGCGTTCTTGCCTGCATATGTTTGGCGTGCGGAATATGTGGAGCGTGTGCTAGAGACCGAGCGCTTGTAGATCATGATCAGTCTCCTGATCCAGTCGTCATTGGGGTTCCGGCCTCGTAGTACGGCTCAAACTGTGAAAAGAGGTGATCTGACGGTTTGAGATCACCCCTAAAAGGTGCCCCTAAGGGGCGTGGTGAACTGCACAAGCGCTCCAGAAGAGAGCAAAAAGATCGCCTGTGCCTTAATGCGTGGACAAATTTGCAGCAGCAAGGTTTGAAGGTGTTTTTTGTCAAGGACAGCACTGGGAGCGTCGCCGCGCTCGACCGGTGGAGAGCGGAGAGCGAGCGGAAGCGAAGCTGGGCGAATTAAGGGGCAAAGGCAGGTTTTTTGGAGTGGTGTTTTGTTTCTGCTGATGTTGTAAAATATACGTTTTTCATGGTCTGGTAGTTGTTTGCGTGTTCTATATATACTCAGCTACCTCGAGCGAGTATGGAATCACATCAAGCAAGAACGCCCTTTGGATGCCTGCAGTTTCGGAACTCTGCTCGGCCTCAATTGTCTGTGGGGAACTGACACCAGGATAGCGAGAACTTGGGCACGACCAGTCCGCCGTCGTCGGTGAATGTCCGCCAAAGCCGGCGGACTGGTCAGGTGAACATGCCCATTTTAGTCAACCAAAGCTGGCGACGGGGTATCCACCGTGAGGACGCGCGAAGGGAAGGCGGACGACGTGGGGCCCTTCTTGGAATCTTGGAGTCGAAGGGAAGGTGAAGGAAGAAGGGGTCGTAGACAGGGACTGGGGAGGGTGGTTTATAATAGTTGTTGCAATTCGATTCTTTTTTTTGGCCTGGTCTTGACCATGAGTCAGATCAGAACAAAACAACATGGCTCACTTCCTGATGGGTTGCGTGAATTTTTCTTTGACTCATGGACTGGAGTTTTTTCAATTCTTGGGGTCGCTATATATACGGACCCGGCCCTCAGACAGCTTCAGAATCAAAGTCAGGGTCAACACTCGCCATGGTTTTCCCCAGAATCCATCCATTTTCGTTCCAGACTACCTCCCTTTTTTTTTCCCAGGCCAAAGGGTTGTTCCACGGGTCGCCCTTCGTTCTTCGCGGACACTGAGGACTTGGCTTCGTCTCTCATCGAGGCCACGAGACGAAAAGATCAGACGGTTCGTGGGTTTGGGAGGGGTTTGTTTAGGCACCATAGTCCTGAACTAGCAGTGTTTTCCTCCCCCCCCAAAATGGTGGGAGACAGAGACAGAGAGCTCCTCGAGATCCCTCCAACCACAAATAGATCTCACCTACAGCGGTTTCTGATTTGTTTTTAAAACCTCTGCAATTAGAGCTGTTGTTCATCGCTGCAAGACATTGAAGGTCTTCTTCCCAAAAAATGCAAATACCACTTCTTCGCCAACACCTCCCCGCGCCTCTCCCGCGCCTCTCGTCGCTCGCCCGCGAGCAGCGCGCCTCTCGCCGCTACGTCGCGAGGACGTGGCCTTCCGGCAGACCTTGGTGGGCGAGTTGGCGAGCACGGCGGCCGCTGGGCTTGGCCGACGCCGCGTCGCGGGAAGTCGAGCGGTGAAGTCGGGAAGTCGCGTCCGGATGGGGTGAAGTGGATGGTTTTCGGTTTCGGAGGGCTTCGGCCAAGAAATGGGGTGGTCGGGTGAGGTGGATTTCAGTTGAATCCTGAACATTTGAAACATCCTCCCATGTGAAAAAGCTGTTTTCACTTCAGAACAATGGGATATAGGTCTTCCAACTGTGCCATATTGATGCCTTTTGGTTGATTTCATTGATGAAAAGGCAAAAATTCTGCACAGTTGGAAGATCCAGGTGTATTTCATACTCAGAAATATGGGGAGGGTGTAGAAGGGTTTATGAGTTGTTCCTTTACCACATCCGTCTTTTAAGACGGCCTGCCAGTGTGCTTTCGCACCCAGAAGGATCACGACGAGCTCGTGGTCCAAGTCAACTTCTCTCAAAGACTGGAACTTCTACCAGGACCAGTTCGACCTGCCAGGTCACCAATGGTTCGACCTGAGAGGGCCGGGTCCAACAACCCTCAACTAACAGTCTGGCCGAGTTCGGGTGCTGGTAGATGGCGAGGATGATAGACTTGGGCAGTTGGAGTGGTTGGTTGTCACCACGTGTTGAGTCTGTCCCGGTGTTCACCACGATATGCGGAAGACCGACGTTTAGCGATGCCTAGACACTGGGCCTCACACCTCATGCGAGTCTGGTCATCTTGGACCGGGGCGTCCTGGCGAGACTACCCTACGTCTACCCTAGGTCTACCAGGTCTCCTACTCCAGGGCACCCGGGTCCAGGACACCCTAGGTACTGAAACGTTTGTTGCCTTGCGTTGTTGCATTTGGATCGACCAGTCCTGTTCGGACGATGGTTTAGTCCAGCAGAGGCATGCTGGACGTGGAACCGCCACCAAGTGGGGATGGGTCTTGTGGCGCGGGATCCCCTGTCATAGAAGTTCGTAGATCCCCACCTATGAAATGTGAAACATTTGGACACCATGCTATCTATTTCCCAGACACGACCAGCACATGGGACTGCGTTCGTCCGTTCTGCCGCCCCAGAGTCTGAACCCCTCAAATACCACGCACGCACCCAATCGGCGAGTTCCGCAGCTCCGGACGGTCGCGTCGTCCCATGTGCTGGTCGTGTCATGGGTTTTGGGACCACGTGTGATCCGTTCACTCCAAGTCTGCCGAGTGGGGGACCGAGTCGGGTTGGACGTGGACCCGAGACCGAACCTATGCAGGGGTCGCACCATCCTCGGGTCAGGGGTCTGGGGTTTCTCACCACCCAGACGCTCCGTGAAACAGCTCGACTGGTCCCGAAGCCAAACCCTAGGGATTGGTGAGAAGGTCCGGACCCCTCCAGAGGATTCGGGTCCGGCCCCTACTGAACGCAGGGTCCAGGGTCGCGTCTGGGGTTTCTCACCAATCCCTACGGGTTTGGTTCGGGACCGGGCGTCGTGAACGACGGAGCGTCTGGGGGCTGTACTTAAGATAATTGATCCCACTGATGTCGTTTTTCGTTCGTTTTCGTTGAACACACCATGCTTATCATGCTTCTTTCCTAAGGACGTGATGATTGCTGACATCATCGGAGGCTGGCCTTGGCTTCTTGTGACACCGCGAAGCTTCGCTTTCGGAAAGGTGGAGATGCTTTTGCGGGCAGGGAGTGTATGCCCTTCCATCAGGTTCAACTGTTGAATGGGAGAATCAAAAAGAAGTGGTCTTTCAAAGACGTAGAGGGCACGGTTTCCAATTCATTTTACTAATACTATCTATTTGGGTCTATAGAGAATCATAGGATGAACTCCTGAAGAATTAAACTCAACGCGTGCTGACTTGGAGGAGACTCTCTCCCAACACTGCTTGGTTTTTCGTTTTGGTGGCTTGGCATTCGCACGTCCTTCGTCACCTGGCCGGTGTTGACCCCTCCCATCTTTCGGTGTGTCGATCTCCATCTTTCGGATCATTCCTTTCTTGGGGATCCGGTCCAGGTATATACCTGGACCCTCCTGGCCAGGTGCTTCCTGTGTTTCCAAGTCCAGTGCCCAGAAATCACCACCTGTCAGAGTGGGTCGAACCACATCCAGCCAAACCGACCGGAGGGTCCTGGTAGAGAACCCCAAATTGATAGAAGCTTGTACCTGGACCCTCCTGGCCAGGTGTTTCCTGTGTTTCCAAGTCCGTCTTCTCCAGAAATCACCACCTGGTCGGGTCTCCGGTGACCAGCCTGGCTTTCACGGAAGGTCCGAACGGTAGATCCTCCACGTCGAAAAGGTCTTGGACACTGTGCCACAATCATCTACCCCCTAGACTTCCAAGACCATTAAAACAATGGTTCACCTAGTTTTTGTAGTGTAAAACCCTTAGTTGATTCAGCAAAGCCTATTAAATTAATGGTGGTTGGAAGCCTAGGGTACCAGTACCCTCCGTTCATTCGGTGGCGACACCGGTACAACTTCATTCATCCGGTGTGGAATCAGCCCACCGGAGTTGGTCGAACCTGGTCCAGCCGACTGGGTCGGGTCCGGGTCTTGGATCACCATGCTGTCCAACAATTCCAAGAGAGGTTGAGAGACCTGAACTAGGACCCCATGGTGGTATACGTATGGGATGGGCTATAAGGCTGTTCAACCTCTCTTGGTTCTTCCACCACCTCTTCTGGCCTCCGCTTCGCCAGGTGCCATGGGTGGCGATGAGCTCCGGAAGCGTTTGGGCATCCAGAAGAACGACGAGGCCCACGGCCCACGCTTACTCGGAGTCGCGCGACGGGATTCGGCCAGGCGGCCAGCCAGCTTACTTCAAGGGACTTTTCATCCCCGTTCAGAACCCTTCTGTGACTGGGGGGGATTTTGGATGACAACACCATGCAGGGTAAACTCACCATCCATTGGATGGTCGAACTGCTCGGGCTGTCGATCTCCATGGCGGTCAGTGTGGCCCACCCCTGGCCTGATCGGTCGTCCTATGCCAGTCCCATGGAGTGTTTGGGAATGGATTGTAACTAATTCAACCAACGGAGGTTGAAGGACCCGAACTAGCCTATCCCATAGGTAACCCAGTAAGGTCCTAGTTCAGGTCACTGGCTACCTCTCTTGGAAGGTCTTGGGATGAATGAAGTTCTTTTCAAGACCCCGGGAGTTCTGTGAGAGATTTTCTGGGTGGAACCATTGTCGGGAGAGTTTTCGGGAGAGTTTCCCGACCCACACCCACATGGAGCGCCAGATGAGTTGTTCATCAATAAGACCACTAAGAGTTGTTCCCCGCACCTCTGGCGCTTGAGAATTGCTGAGAAACTCTTGAGGGCCCCGAAACAGGGTCAGCATGCCACTGCTGCTTCAGTCCAGCAGCAACTGCCTCCCTCAGCCCAGAGATCCCTGATCAACACGAGTTCTTTGTCGAAAAGCCTTCGACCAAGGCACCTGACCAAGACTGGTGGATGGACGGCTCAGAGCCATGTGGGTGTGTATACATAGGGAGACCGACCCCGACCACAACGACCCCCCGTGGGTTTGGGTTGGGAAATAGACGAACAACTTATTGGGCCGGGGTTCTCCCTATCCCAGACGCGACCCGTCTGGGACTGCCAGTCCGGACTGCCGAGAAATGGCCAGGGGTGGTGCCAGGGGGGGCCAATGTGTAGGCATATATGGCAGTCCCATGGAGTGTCTGGGTATTAGACTTAGAATACACGCCCAGATGGAGAACCTCCATGAGTCGTAGCCCTTTTTGGGGGGCTCCCAGATGCGCCTAACAGCAGTGATCGGGGCCTTTTTTTGGTCGTTGTTGTCGTAAAGCAAAACGGAGGGGCAGAGGTTTTGGCTCCTGGTGAAGAGTACTCAGGGGTCCAGGGTGTTACTAACCCTGGAAGTGGGTACTCCTCCTCCTCCTCCATTGTGTACTCCGATGAAATCATCCTTGCGAAGTCATCCGGGTCCTGATGACATGACCCTACCGGTCAGCTTGAGCTCAAAACTGGGAGTTGGTCATACCAAAAACACTACTCACATGACTCACATGAGGTTTTTCAGCAGAAGACCGGACCGGACTCGCGTCCACTTCTAAACCTTGACATGACACGACTTCTTCACCACACGACCCCGTGTGGAAAAACAACATGCAGTCGTTCTGCAGACTCGGTCGGACAGAGAGCAGAGACTCCGTCGGACTGCAGAACAGCCCTATACCAGGACTTTCCAAGACGTCTATCAATGGCCTCTTGGTGTAGGTTAAGGGGTGTCCTTCCAACCACCGGCCTTGGTTTCGGTCCTGGTAACTGGTCCTGCCGAGTGAAAACAGCTCGTCCGCTCCCCGCTCCCGGGTCCCTCAAGACGGGATTGGTCAGCAACCCCCCCCAGCCGTCTGGCCCCGAGGATGGCTTCGGGGTGACTAAGACTCCCAACAAGACCATCGGGTCCAGACGGAGCATCTGTGCGGGAGACTGCCCAGACGCTCCCGAATCCTCTGGAGGGGTCGGGGGTCTCAAATCCCTATGGTTTTGAGGGACCAAGGGCTGTTTGGAGCGTCTGGGTGAGCAGATTTCTTGGAAGATGCTGGGGAACTAATCCAACTCTAAGTTCCTGGACCTTCAAGGCTGGGGCACCTGTTTGCCAGGTGACACCGATGTGAATAAAAGGTGCTAGTTACGGTTCTTAGGCTCCCAACAATTCAGTTACGGTGCTGGTGGTGGGTGATGGGGTTCTGGATAGTTATGGTTCTTAGAAAGTGCGACTTGTTCGTTTCGGTCCCCCACAGACTTTGCATCTCTTTCCCACCAATTCACACGAGCCATGTGAAGGCGCGTGTCTCGGACGTGCGGGAAACGGTGAACCTCATCGCAGAGAAGGTGGTCGATGCTGGGACTGAGCGATACCGGCGGGAAACGCCCGTTTTATTCTCGCCGGAACCTGAGAAGACCATGAACAAAGACATCGGTGTTATGTCGAATTGATGATAAATGAGCTTCCAACTGAGTCCGTTCACCATTCAAATCCTATCATATCCTTATAGTTATTGTAGACACTTTACATTTGAATGTCTTGGATGAACGTTTGGCAAACTCTTGGAACCTGAAGACTTCGTTTTGGACCCTGCGCCACACCGTAAACGGTCCCCTGAGACGGTGTGCAGTTTGCTGCGCGTTAGGAACGCCGCTGCGGTTAGTTTCATGCCAGACCAACAGAGGTTAAGTGACCTGAACTTGGACCCTACAGGGGTACCGAACTAGGATAGTCTAGTTCGGGTTCTTCAACCTCTGTTGGGAGTTCGGGAGGCTTAACGCCGAATCCGGGCTCCTTTAACGGGTTTGGGAAAGAGACCCCGGACGCGTTTCGGTGGAGAAGGTCCGACCCCCCTGCCGAGAGCCCAAGAACGTGAGATATATAATGTATACACCA